ATCCGTCTCCAGCCGCCGCATCGCCAGCCCGCGCCGAGGCCCGGCCCAGTGCTGGGCGCGCCCGGGGAGCTGGCGCTGGCTGGCACGGCCCCCGCCTACCCAGGCAAGGGGGCGGCCCCATATGCGCCGCCGGTACCCTCGCGCAGTGCCTTAGCCCACCCCATCAGCCTTATGACGCTGCCCGGCGAGGCGGGCGCCGCTGGCTTGGCGCCGCCGGGCCACGCAGCCGCCTTCGGGGGCCCTCCCGGTGGCCTCTTGCTGGACGCGCTGCCCGGGCCATACGCGGCTGCCGCTGCTGGGCCTTTGGGTGCTGCGCCTGACCGCTTCCCAGCCGACCTGGACCTTGATATGTTCAGCGGGAGCCTCGAGTGTGACGTCGAGTCCATCATCCTCAACGACTTCATGGACAGCGACGAAATGGACTTCAACTTTGACTCGGCCCTGCCTCCACCACCACCCGGCCTGGCCGGGGCCCCACCCCCCAACCAGAGCTGGGTGCCGGGCTGAGGGCCGCCCCCAGTGCCCTGGGTGCCCCTGCCCCAGCCCCAAGGGGCCTCTGTCTTCCCATCCTGTTTCCGGGGTCCCCACTCTTGATTCCAGCTGCACGGGAGGATCCAGGAGGCAGCCCCAGCCCTGCTAGAGACCTCCCTCAGAAGCTGACCACTGAGGGAAGTGGTAGGGAGGGGCTGGGGCCGCCTACCATTCCTGCCCAGACTCCTGCTACCCTTTCTTCCCACTCCCGGACAGGAAATCTGGGGGTGGAGGCTGAAATCCAGAAATCCAGGCTGGGTGGGAGTGATGAGGAGCCAAGTGGACCGCGCTGGTCGGAGAAGATGCCGGGAGATGGGGCAGGGGACGTCTCCAAATCTTTAAGTTTTTTTGTGTGTGGGGTCCTCGCCGTGACAAATCGCCCTCCCCAAACTCCGATCGGATTCCCAATTGACACCTTCCCGCTGGCCTTAGCCCCTCCCCCTCCCGCCCTTCACTCCTACCTATTGGCTGTTCAGCCGGGAGCTGTCCTTCAGCCCTAATCACCCGACTCCACCCCTGCGGTTCAGCCCCTTCCTTTCCTCTTCCCCACCCCCCCAAGCCCCAACTTCACCCTCCTTTGTCAGAGTCCTTCTCGGTCTCCAGCCCTCCACCACTCCCCTGTACTGGTCTTACCCTCTCCAGAGGGCCTCAGCTCCGGATCCACCCCAGCCCGACGCCCCTCTCTCCACGCCAGTCCTGGCGCCTCTCTCCCGTATTTATAAGTGTCCGGTCGGGGCGGGCCGTGGGCCGGAGTCCCCTGCGCATATCGTAGGCAGTGTACCGTGGCTGTGCCGTCAGCGTGTGCGTGTGCGTGTGTGCCGTGTCGAGGCCGTGTAGAGTGCATTGTACAGCATATTTTCATGAATAAAATTGTTTTAAATATTTCTCGCGCCTTGGGCTAGCAGGGGGCGTGTTAGAGGAGGATAGTTGGCAGAGATCTGGGGGTCCCGGTGCCTGAGCTCCTGTGTGGCACTGTGTCCAAGTATGTGTCCCACCTGTCACTGGTACCTGCTTACACGTGTGGTTAAGTGCCTGCTGAGTTCTGGGTGCTGGAGATGACCCTGGTTGGGACTCTGCACCTGCTTCTGAGAACATGCACATGCAGGAAGTTTCTGGCCTGGGAAATTCTGTCCTGAATAAGCCTCAGAGATTGGGGAGGAAGGCAGGTATTACCCAGAACTTCTTAATGGCAGGTCCTGTATGAGGGAGAATTTTGTTCCTGTTGTACAGATGAGAAAATAGGGTCAGAGGGGAAAATGTCTTGGGAAGGGAGGGTGGGTGATGGAAAGGAAGCTTTGAAAGCACAGACTTCTTTTGGAAACTGTTCTGTCATTGGGCAGCCTTGCTATCCTGGTCTGGACCACAGGATAATCACACCCATCCCATGGATTTCTCCAAGGAGTAAAGTTATGTAAAATGCTCAGCCTGGATCCTGCACTCATTCCTTCGTGGGAGATTTAATGAGCCCCTGTTCTATGCTAGGTTTAAAGAGAGCATCACCGGCACTCTCTACCCTCCAGAAACTTGAGGAGTGTATGGATGAATGAATAGGTGGATGAATCAATAGGCAATTGTAGATCAGAGCTGTAATGAATGGGGCGGCGGGGGGGGGGGGGCAAGTTGGTGTTGTGGAAAGGAATGACATGGCTGCACCATCCCAGGCTTGGGAAGTCAGGGGAAGTGCCTTGGGGAGGGGGTGCAGCCTCAGCTGAGTCTTGAAGGATTTGAAGGATGGGCTGACACTAGGAAGGGGAGGGAGCCAGACAGTGGGAATGTCTTATTCAGAATCTGGAGTTCCAGAATCAAAAGCAGCTTAGTGTGACCAAAACTCAGAGATGGAAAGAAAACTGACCATGTGGAGGCAAAAAGGCCAGAGGAGAGAGAGGGCAGCTGTGGGAGAGGGCAGTGGCCAGGCCAGAAGGGCTGGTGGTCACTGAAGCCAGGAGGGACACAGGAGGGCAGTGGGACTGGAAGGGAAAGGATGACTTGACGTATATTTGGACGTGGAGGTAGTGGGATTTGGTGTGAATTGGTCATGGGGGTGGTGAAGGACAAGGAGAAGTCGAGTGATACTTGGTTTCTGGGTGGGCACCCAGTCATTTCTTGAGACAGAACAATGAGGCGGTAACTGCCTCAGGGAAGATGGTGTGCTCAACCTCAAACATGCTTAACTTGAAGGAAGTCCCACAGGAAACTTTGGGATTCGGGAGGGATGTTCAGGGGCATATATGCTGGGCAAATGGCAACCCCTGGCATGAGGCATCATGGTGACCAGGGATGTCAACTAGACAGTGGAATCAGGAGCCCAGGAGGGGTGTCTGCCTTGGAGAGGGAGGAAGGCAGCAAATCAAGCTGCCTTGGGGGTGTCGGGGGAGTTGGAGGGCGGTGCAGAGTAGAAGAGTGGGTGACCCAGGTCTGTTGGGGGGAGCGGTAGACCACCTGGATTCAGGAAGGAACCCACTGGCTGAGGAGGAGCAGCTGGAATGGGAGGACTAGGAAATCCAGGACACCACCATCTCCTTGAGTGTGTAAAAAGAGTGTGGTTCTAGAAAGGGATAGGCTCTTTTCTCCTGAAAGCCACTCTCAGTCTGGGTGGCAGGGCAGTAACTCCAGTCTAGATTAATTCTGAGGAGTAAATAAGATTGCAATTATTCTCTGAGGTCAAACTCCTGGCAAGGGGCAGAGCCAGGATTCCTGCCCGGACTGTAGTTCCAGTGCTGAGGTTATTCTGAGACTCCGCTGCTACGGGGAGGTGGCTTGCAGCAGAGGAACTCAGAACCAGCAGGACCTGTACAGGTTCTGGGCTCAGAGTCGGAGGGAGGCCCTCACTGAGGGGTGTGGTGGGTGTTCTCACTGGGTGGGGAGCACGGAGAGAGACTGACAGACCCTTCCCTGCGACAGCCCCACCCACCAGCAGACTCTGGGACAGCCCAGCTGGATCTGGGCTCCAGATGGGCTGCAAAAGCTGCCCCCACCCTAGGCTGCCAGAGGGTGGGCTGCTGGTGTGCGTGTGCTGGTCTGTGTGTGTCCACAGACCCCCACATGCATCTGTCTGTGTGGGCCTGTGCATGCGTGTATGTGCTGGGAGGGGACAGGCTGAATGATGGTTGGGGTCTCCCTGTCTTGAGTGCACATGCCTGAGTGTGGGTGTGTGTGTGTGTGAGAGAGAGGTGGGAGGGGCTGGGTGATAGCTGGGGCCTTTCTGTCTGAACGCGCACATGCCTGGTCATGTGTGTGAGAGCGTGCACACGTGCGTGCATGGTGGGGACGGCAGTGCCACCGTCTCCCAGGGTGCCCACACGTGCGCTGGGGCCGTGCAGTCCCCGCCCGTGTGTGCAGCCCGTCTTCCTCTCTGGGTGTGTCTGCTGTCTTGGCGCACACCTCTCTCCGGGCGCACCAGAGCTGGTATTCCCCTGCCAGGCGTCTCGGGCTGCTCTGCTGTGGGAAGGGAAGGGAGGAGAGCAAGGACTCTCCCAACCCTGGGACGGGGCCAGGCTCCAGACGAGCAGAGAGACCACCTCCGAGTAATGGCTGCTCGCTGCCCAGCTCAGACCGGGGCCGGTCCAGACAGCTTCGCTCTGCTGGGCCCCTCAGGAGAAAGGGGCAACACCCCTGCAGCTGGGAATCTGCCACTGGCCCTTCCCTGCCAGTCTTGGAGCCCAGCAGACGCGCCCCTCCATGCCCGCTCTCTGGGAGGCGTCTGACACATGATTTATTCATAAAAAGCCATTATTTGTGCCAAAGAAGAACTGAGCTGCTCGCTTTTTAAGTGCCGATAATGCTCTCAGCCTCCTCGCCTCTCCTCCTCGCCCGCCCTTTCCCTCTCCTCTCTCCTCTTACCTCCTTGGGACCTCCCATCCTTTCTCCCCCTCCTTTTCTTACTCCTTCCCCTTATTCTTTCTCAGTTCTTTCATTGTTCTCCTCATGCCTCCTCTCCTCCAATTTCTTCCTTCTTCTCTCACCCCACTCACCTCCTCCCCACTTCCATTCCACAATTAAGGGAGGGAGGAACAAGGAAGGGAAGCTCAGGACCAATGCTACCAGACTGGGGAAGCCCTGTACCCCCACCCCAACTTTCACCTGTTCAGGACCAGGGGAAGGTCGGGGGGGAGGGGGACAGATTGAGAAATGCAGGGGTAGGGGGTGTTCCAGGCTGCCATCAAAAGCTCCCCCTATGTGAGAAGTGTGTGGCTTAACCCCCACCATTATTAGCACCAGCCTCCAGGAAACATTGGCTCTAGATAAGAACCTGTATTTCATATGCAAATGCAGGCTCCAGGCAAGCTCCCCAGGCCCCCTTTCCTCCCTGCCAGGTGTGCCCCTCAAGTGCCCCCATATAGAAATTCTGGAGCCACCATTATTCAGGTGTTTCCAGGAGAGACAGGCATCACCGGTGGAACTTGGGGCCTGTCACAAAGCACCTGTTTCCAGACAGAAGGCGGTAGAGTAAGGACGGCACATGTGAGCGTGGTTGTGGACACACACAGGTCCTAAGAAGCGGCCTGCACAGATGCACGTGTGCGAGCTCTCAGGCTTGACACACGCACACGCACACGCACGCAGCCACACACCTACTTGTGCAGATGGAGAGTGCTCCTCCCCCAGCACCTGCAGCCCGAGGGCTGAAGCTCGCCCCATTCAGACACCTGTTTTTTCATTCATTTACTCCATAAACCAGGCTTTTGTACCCCCTCTGTGCCCTTGTGCTGGGCACTGGGGTGGTAGAAATAAACGTGACTGGGCCGAAGGGAGGGGACCGCAACACAGTGGGGACCACAGGCCCTCCCCTGCAGCCCCGGGCTGGGGGTTAGTTACCCAGCAGGCAAGGGGTTAAGTCATTTGGCATCCAGAGCTGGAGCCATTAGGCCTCCTAATTATGAAATTATCGAGGTCCTCAGGTGACTGCTAATTTCACACACACTGTTCCTCTCCCGGCTAATGAACGCCCGCAGAACCCACGCCTTGTCTTTCCTGCTGAACGGTGACCTGCAGTTAATGAGCTCAGGAAGGCAGACAGGCCTCCGGCTGGGTGGGTGGGGCGCCGGGCCTGAGGAGGGGGCCCCTTGTCCCTCCTGCCCTATTGGCTCCTTTGCTGGCTGCCAGACCCCAGCAAGGAGGCTTCAGGGCCCCGGTCCAGCTGCGGTTTCTAGAAGACAGACTAAGACTAAGCCAGGGGCTCATGGGAGCAGGGAGAGATGCAGACTTGGGGAGGTTCATGCTCCTGCCAGGAGCATGATGGTGGGCGCAGAAATAACATGTAAGTGGGGGAGGAGGGCCATTTCCGCTTGATTCTGGGGTCCTGTCAGAGGCCTTTATTAAGGACTAGGGTCCTTAGCAGTGGGACTGGGGAACACTCACACCAGATGCCAGAGCTGGTGAGGACTCTGGGGCATGAGCACTTTAATGATAGCGCCAGTGTCAACTGGTGAGATTGCAATATGACCGGTGCTGGTGATTTTCAAAGTTTGAATTTTTAAAACTTAAAAAAAAATAAGTGACCTTTTAATATAACATTTAAAAATCAGCCTGTAAGTCGTGAAGGGAAAAAGTGACACACTGGTTATGAGTTTAGATGAGGGCAGCAGGAACCCAGGTCTAGAACTCAGTTTCCCTAAATGGGGACACGGTGGATCCTCAGGTTGACACCAGGTGGCTTTGGGACCTAGAGCTACCCGCCAGCTACCCGCTGAAGGGCTCTACCCCTGGACACTGCTAACTGAGTGGCGGTGTGGTGAACGAGCGGATGGTGAGTGGCAAGATCTGGGTTCCAGGGCCTGCGTTCTCGCTTGTTGTCCTGTTGCTTTGAGCAAGTTCTGTACCCTCCCTGGGCTTCCATTTCTGGGTGAGTAAATGATTCAACTAGGCTAGAGCTGTGTTTGCAGAAGGGACAGTCTGGGCTCCCCAGGGAGTTATCTACATTCAGCTTGAGTTCCCATCAGGGACATTCCTTTGAGCCAGGTACCCCAGGCCTGAGTTGGGGGCTTAGTAGACTCTGTCTCCGGCTTGCATTTATGTAGGGGTGTGACTCCAGCCTTCTGTCCTCTCTCAGAAATCAGAGGGACAGCCTGGCGCCCCCAGCCTGCTTGTAGCACTGTGTCCTCTGACAGCAAGTTCCCACTTTGCCACCAACTCCCATCGACTTCTGCATCTCAGTTTCCTACCTGTCAAAGTAGCGCGTAAACGTGTGAACTCGTTTTGGATGTGACAAAGATCCCAGAGGTTATAGCTGCTACCAT